ATAAGCTCTAGCTATATGGCTCTGGTAAACTCTAAGATTAGTCTAGGCTTTGTCCGTTCTTTCATCTAGGACTTCTAGCTCTGACGGTCTAGAGTACGGGCTAGTTCCACTTCGGAGGGCCATACGAGTTGAGGGTATGGCAATTTCCACTGGAAGGACAGCTTCCGTGCCATATACCAACGAAAATGGGGTCATTTGAGTTGGTCTTCTTTTGGATGTTCTGTATGCCCAGAGCGCCATTGGAAGCACATGTGCCCAGTCCCTTTGATAATCCTTGAGAGTTCTTGAAAGGATTCTAAGGAGTGTTTTGTTTGTTGCTTCAGCTTGTCCATTCCCCTGTGGATAGTAGGGCATTGATTTATGGTGTGTGATGTCGTAGGAGACTAAGAGTTGCCCCACTTGGCGGTTGACAAAAGGGGTCCCATTATGCGAGAGGATTACTCTAGGTACACCAAAACAACATATAATGAATTCTCGAATGAAATTGGAGACAGCGGCTCTTGTTGCCTTCTTCAAGGGGATGGCTTCTACCCACTTTGTGTAAGTCTCTGTGGCCACTACAATCCATATGTGTCCCTTTGACGGTGGGGAGATAGGGCCAATAAGATCCATAGCCCACGTGTGAAAAGGCCATGGTGAGCTTGAACTATGCAGGTCGGTGGCTGGTGCGTGAATAAGGTTGTCATGGAGTTGGCAAGGTTTGCAGCATTTGGCATACATTTTGGCATTTGCTTCCATGGTAGGCCAATAATAACCTATATGCAGAAGATGCTGGAATAGCTTGGCTCCACCTTGGTGCTCCGATATGTGAGTAAGTTTTAAAACTTTTTGGATTTCTGCTCCTGATAAGCAACGTAAAGGCTTCCCGTCAAAGCCATGCCGAAAAAGCTGCCCTTCCTGCAAAAAGAATTTCAGAGCTCAATTCTTGATTATTGCAGCTGCAGAGCGGTCTGGCGGCAATGATGCTTCTTTAAGGTAATCTATATACACCTGACGCCAGTCGGAGGTGATTTTTATGAAATTGCATTCAGCTTTTGGAGGGAATTCCTGGCATTTGGTGCACTTTCCTTGAAGGTCGTTTGCTTCCTTGGCTATGGTAGGCCAATAATATCGTTGTCGTTGTAGCCTCCTATAGAGGCTTACGTCTCCTATTTCACAAGAACGGTTGTGAACCCCTTCTAGCTTAGACTTGGCTTCGGTAAGATCGATGCAACGTGCTAGCAGACCCCCAGGCCCTCTGTAGTAGAGGACTCCTTAATAAATCATGAAGTGTTTGATTTCGCACAAAGGTAGTTTACTTGAGGGGGCGCGGAACTCGTCGATGATTGGGGCTCTCCAGTCGGCGGGTTCTTTTTCGAGAAAGATAGTTGTTACCGAGCACGGCATAGAGCACTTCAAAACTTTTATCTTAGTTGATTCTTCTGCAAATTTTACCTTAGAAGCTAAGGTAGCAAGGGCGTTTGGGTGTCGATTGTTGGAGCGAGGAGCATGTTCTATCCTTACTGTGTCAAATTTGTCTGTCAACCTTTGGACAATGGTTCTCTATGAGGCCAAAGGGGGCTCTTTGATAGCATAGTCTCCATTGGTCTACTTGACCACCAAATTAGAGTCGCCTTTGATACATAGGAGACTTACTCCTAGGTGGAGTGCTGCCATGAGTCCTAATATCAGGGCTTCGGATTCTGCCTCGTTGTTAGAGCACTTAAAATCCAGTTTATACGACAAATTGACTTCAGTTTGATTTGAAGAAATAAGGACTATTCCAGCTCCTCCCCCTTTAGAGGTAGACGATCCATTGAAGCTCAAACTCCATTCTCCTTCGGTGTTTACTTCAACCGCTTAGAACTCATCTCCTGGCAATTCATCCGAGGGCGGCTCATGTTCTCCACTGGGAAGTGAGCCAAGAGGTCAGCGAGCGCTTGACTCTTGATGACCTTGGGAGCTTTGCAAGTGATGTCATATTCTGCAAAAGATAGGAGCCAACGGGCTGGCCTGCCAAAGAGCGCTGGTCTAGTGAGGAGAAATCGGATAGGATCGTTTCTGGTCATGAGATGGATGGGGTAAGAAAGAAGGTAATGGCGGAGCTTTTTGGCAGCAACCACTAGGGCGAGGCAGTGCCGTTCAATGGGGGAATATCGGATCTCAGCCCCTTGGATGACTCTACTTATGTAGTATACGGGTCGTTCAAGTCCAACAATTTCCTGGGCGAGCAGAGCTCTGACTAATTTCGGCGTGGAAGTGATGTAGAGGAGTAAGGGCCTCACCGGCTGAGAAGGAGTCATGGAAAAAGGGGATGTTAAATTTGACTTCACTCCTTCGAATGCTTGTTGGTGTTCCTCATTCCAAATGATCCTGACATCCTTCTTTAGTAATGAATTGAAGGGTTGTGTTATTTCGGCCATAGCTGGGATAAACCGTCTCAAGTAAGATGCCCGACCAAGGAAGGTTCTCAACTCATCTAGATTGGTTGGTCGTGGCATATTTTTTATGGCGGCGACCTTTGCTGGGTCGGGTTCTATCCCATGGCGATGAACGATGCAGCTAAGGAACTTGCCGGCAGTGACTCCGAATGTGTATTTAAGCGGGTTCATTCTGAGTCTATATTTCTTACAACGTTTAAAGACTCTTTAGAGGTCTTTGAGGTGACTAGTCTCCTCTTTGGATTTTACTATCAAATCATCAATGTAACATTCCAAGGACTTGTGCAACATATCGTGAAAAATGGCCGTCATAGCTCTCTGGTATGTTGCCCCCGCGTTTTTTAACCCAAAAGGCATTACAGTATGGAAAAAGTTACCTATAGGAGTGCGAAATGCCGTCTTTGGGGCATCCTCTGGAGCCATCTTGATCTGGTTGTAGCCGCTGAAGCCATCCGTGAATGAGAACATATGGTGCCCCGCCGCTGAATCAATCAAGGTATCTATGTTTGGGAGTGGGAACTCATCTTTAGGGCAAGATTTGTTTAGATCTCTGAAATCGACGCATACTCGAATTTGACCATTCTTTTTTATAACTGGGACGATACTAGAAAGCCAGGTGGGATGTTGGATGGGTTTGATAAACCCTGCTCCAAGCAGCTTCACCACTTCGTCCTTGATGTTGAGCTCCACCTCGGGCATATAAAATCTTACCCCTTGCTTGACTGGGCGAGCCAGGGGGATGACGTTCAAACGGTTCATGGTAACATCTTTGTCTAATCCTGGCATTTCTTCATATGTCCACGCGAAAACGTCCGAGTACTTCTTGATCAACTTGATGAGAGGCCCCTTTTGTTCTGCTAGAAGATCTTTGCAAATGAAGATAGGACGCCTGGGTTCCCCTTCAGGGGCTATGTTGATTTCTTCCAGTTCTTACTTTTGGGGCCGAGGGCCGTCCTGTAAACACTCCGGAGCAGGTCGAACATCTTGCAATCCATTTTGCTTTAGGATTGCAACTGAGTTGGCGGGGACTTCATTAGGAGATGAAATGGTTGCCTTGGCAAGGGGTTTAACTTTTGAGCTTTCGGCTCCATCCAAATGAGTTATCGCAGGATAATAGGATCTGTCAAAGTGTTTATCTGTTGTTGGAAAAGCCATGACTTTTTTCCTCCTTCTACTCTTCTTGTCTCTACTTCTTTTATTCTTTGCCATTGGCGGGCGTTGGGCCAGCGCAGACAAGGTGTAGCAACAGTGATCTTCTCCACTTAGTTCACGATGGGCGATGGCTACGTCGTCTAGCTGGGGGTCGGCATTGGTAACATTTGCTAACCCCTCGCACCGTCATAAACAATATATCACTCTGCCATTTTTTGTTTGAAACCTAGTGACTTTACGGAGCTTTCTTTAAGGCTCTGATTTGGTGAATGTCTTTCTGCGAGGTGGTGATGAATCTTCTTCAGAGAGGTCATCCCAGTTGGGTATAAGAGTTCCTCGAAGTGGCAGGGGAGGTTCATCTTGATCGACATGATTATAAAATACCGCATCTGCCATGTGAGCTTCATCAACTCGAAAATGCTTTTGAGAGCTAGCTATGGCTACAACCTCATTGTTGTAGATTGCTTTGACACATTGATGGTAGGTGGACGGAATCACAGCATATCTGTGAAGCCAAGTTCTCCCTAGGAGAGCCTGATAGGTCGTCTCTGCTTCTATAACATGGAACTTAGTAGTGGAACGAATTGTTTCCACTGCTAAGTCTAACTGGACATGACCTATGGTTTTAATTTTTTGGCTTCCAAAATCGGTGATGGAGATGGGTTGTCTGACTAAGTGCTTTGGTGGGATCCCGGCTGCCTGGAAAGTAGAATAAGGCATTACATTGAGTGAAGCTCCTCCATCCATGAATCCTCTTTGAAACTCCATCCCATTAATGAATACTGGGACGTAGAGGGGACAGTTATGTGAAAACAGTACTTGTTTGTCAGCCTTGGTAAAGGTTATTGCCAAGGAGTTGTCCCGAAATACTTTCCTTACTGATCTGCTTACACTCATGCATGTTTCACCGTTTTTCTCTTCAAGTCTTAAAAAGGCCTTGGTGGCTTCAAAGCGTGTTGCTTCGGACAGGCCGAATTGGTCAAAGAACCATTTGAACTTTGTCGATTTCTTAAGCGCTATCACACGCTTGGTCTCGAAGTTTGGACAAGTGGGAGCGGCGGGTTCAGAGAACTCGCACACCATCGGCTCTTCCATCTCGTCACAGCATCATGACCGTCTTTCCATTATCCTTGTGGCGAGGGAGGGGATCTTTCAAGACATCTTCTGTTTGGCAGGGTAACTCAAAGCGTTGTCAGATATCATTTTTCGAACTAGGGATCTGAGTGCCCAACACTCTGTAGTAGGATGTTTAACGGAACGGTGGTATATGCAATAGTCTGCCCGCGCTTGATGTTTTTTTATGACAAGTCGCCTTGGCTCGGGGTGGTGAACTTTTCCATCTTTTACCCAAGCGTTGAGGAGTGCTTGTGCCTCGTTCACTGATATAGGTAACGGCGGGGGAATTTGATCAAACTTTCTCTTTTTTGCCTACGAGTCTCCTCTTCCTCTAAAGGGGCCTTTGGCTACATATACAGCGTGATTGCGTCGGTTAGGCCTCCATGAGGAAGGTTGAGGTGCCGTTGGTCGCCATGAGTGGGGTTGTGGTGCTGTCATTCGTGCCCATGATCTTACTGCTTCACTTATGTTTCGGGCCGCAGCACATAAAGCGAAAAAGTCAGGGAAATGGTGGTTGACCAACTGGAGTTTATAAGTCGCGAGCATTCTTTCAATGCACAATGACACCAGTTGGTGTTCTTCTATCGGGTCTTGAATGTCTACTGCTTTTTCCCTGAAACAGCGGACGTAAACGAGGATATCCTCCCCAAGTCGTTGTGTTTCCCTCATAAGATGAAGGGTGGTTAACCTTTCTTCAATGTAAAAGAACTTGATGTAAAACGTTTTTACCAAGTCTTCCCATGAAGAAATAGAGCCAGCAGCGAGGTTAGCATACCACGAGAATGCTCGATCTGTGAGGGATTTGTAGAATTCCCTCATGCGGAGGTTTCGGTCCTCTCGATAAGCTCCAAGGGCGTCAAGAAAGCGTGAAACATGCTCCCTGGCGTTCCCTTTTCGTCCGTCGAAGCGAACAAACTTGGGTACTGTATATCCCGCTGGATATGGAAGACTTGCAATGTGAATAGGGTAAGGGGAACGGAGGTCCAATTCTGGGGAGGCAGGGATGTGACCTTTGTTTGTCTGAAGTAGACTGTGTATGTGTTCTTTTACTACTTCCAATGTTAATGGCTGGGAAGGGTTCTGATCCACCAGGAGAGCTGGAGAGCTAGTCGAAGGCACTGCGGTGGGAGCTCCGCTAATGGATCTAACTTGCGGTGGAGGTATTTGGTTGGGAGCTGACGGAGGGAGCGGGGCGATTGTTTGTCCTCCCGCCTGGGTTCGCAAGTTGTTTTGTGTAGCGAGGTTGGCTTCCGAGCCATTCTGGGCTAATGGTGGAGCGCCATTTTGTGATGTTGAAAGAGGGTTAGACGATGATGGAAGTGTAGGTGCCCTTTGTAAGGCTAGTAGGGCATCCATTAAGAGTTGTTGGTTCTGTTGAAGAGAGGTGACGCTCTCAGTCAACGCACGTAGTTGATCCATTATGACCGGTTAGGAGGATTGTTCTTCTGGAGAGCCGCTGGAGTTGTGTTCCGAGGTCTCCGCCAGGGTCCCCCTATCGCCACCTTGGGATGTTGCTATTCCAGCTCCAGTGTTCTTTTTGGGTGCCATGTGAAGCGAGCACCACTCTTCCCCAGTAGAGTATAATGTGGGTGAGAGGTGTGGTTAGAGGTAGTCCGGGAAGATGGCGGGCACTTCAATGGCTTGGGATCACTGGAGGTGGAGAGGAGGAGATCAAGGCAAGCTTGGAGAGGGAGAGGTTGGCAGTGATAGACCTTGAATACTAATGTAAAGCGAGAGAGGGTGTTTTAGCATGAGACTTGGCTGTTTTGTTGTTGTTGTGTCTCGCTGCATATACGATACATTATATAGGCCACAGGAGTATTGGAGCCCAAGCAAACTGTTGGACAAGTGGCTCGTTCTCCTCAACTCTGCCAGAAGTGATATAAGCCCTTCTGCCATCCGTGGCTCGACGGCAGGCGGAGAGCAACATTTCATGGCAAGCGGAAAGTAACGTTTCGTTTATGCATCGGATGACATGAATGTAAGGTCTTTGTTGCCTCTTCTCCAAGCCTGGTCGAGATGGAGTTGTCTTAGCAAGAAGACAACCATTTCGACGATCCCATGACCCCAGCCGCCAGTCCAGTATCCTCTGATCATCCTGAGCAGTAGTGCTTGGGTTCTGCTCCCAACCTAGGAATCCAAGTAGGTGAATGGGCTAGGGCCCACCTTAGTGTTTAGGAGAGCCAAGGGCTCGCTTCCAGGCGACAAAGTAGGAGCATGGGCCGCGGGCTTATTTCAATGTTTAGGAGAGCCAGTATTTATCAATCCAAATCCAAGTGAACTGGGGGCTGATTGTATTGTTGTTTGGTCTTGGAGTGAGGTATGAAGGACCATGGACGCTGCGGGGCCATAGTGCTGCCTGTTCCAGGGCTCTTCATATCTAGATATATTTGGGTTTGTATATATGTTCCCGCTTTGGCTAAGCATATAGTTTTGGTTGCCTTGGCACATGGCGCCCATAGGGCTCGCCATGTATCAAACATACGACATGCCCGACGTGGTGCCTTATTGGTCTGCCACGTGGGGGGGTTTTGGTGATTTTGCACCTGTAGAACTTGCCACGTATTGAGCCTGATACAAGTACCCATAGGTTCTTTGGCTGCCACTACTACATTTGAATCTAGCCATTTCTTTCAAATAGAAGAGCTATACACATTTACACAAATGGAAAGCGAGCATGTATTCCCATATTAGAGTCAAAATAATGCACATAGTGACAACATCTCCGAGACATTCATCTAGAAGAAACTGCAAACTATTTGGCCCATAAAGATAAAAAACACTAAAGCAAGCAATCACCAATCTTATATACAGTGACATTGTAGTATATTAACAATATTGAAGTGACCCTGTAACTTATGTACCAATATGTGAGATTGTCAAATCAAATTCTAAAGCATACTTATCAAGCCAAAAAAAGGGAATTGCAAATCGTTTTCCTTGTTATTTCTTTCATCAGTTTGACATTGAAATGAGCTCTGATTGGTATGTTGAACTTATTTAAACTTTTCAGCAGCCTTGAAGACTATTTCCTATAAAATAAAATAATTCCTGGCAAACACTAAAGAGAATTGAAGCCTTTCTTCGAGAACTTATTTAATTAGATTTTTTTTAACTTTTTAATTAGAGGACAAGAGAAAGAGATAAAATAGCATCCCACAACGCTTAACACCTTTCTTTTTTCACTTTGCAGACTTAGGTTGCCAGGCACTCCCTTGAACGCTCAACCGAGCTACTCAGCGTCATTTCACGACCGAGCTAATACTTCGTTAATTTATACATAATTTAAAACCTCATGGGTAAATATAGGTTTTTGGTAAACACCCCAGGTGCTATGGTTGAGTTCCGAAGGGACTACTATATCCCTGATGATGTCCATCTCACTCTAGCCGAACTAGATATCACACCTTGGGGAAACCCAGGTTTTGTTCCCTTTACCCTTCTTTCCATTGTAGAAACCGAACTAAGATTCCCTGTATAGCCTCTTCTTTGTGAGTTCCTTAGACAAACCAGCCTCTGCCCTACCTAGCTTTCCATAAATTCATACCGCATAATAAATGGCATCGCCGAGCTAAACCGCCGGGCTGGCCTTAACCTTGGTTTAGCCGAGCTCTTTCACCAATATTCCATGGGATTGGCTGAAGATGGCTGGGTTTACTATTTAAGAATAAGACGCCGTCGTGAAAAGATAATAAAAAATACCTTGGATAAAGATGTGAGATGTGAATGATGATGATTTCTTCTGGGTATCTGGGAATTTTGAGGACCAACAAGCTTAGATCCTAGGCGACAAAATAAATTGGAACAAGGGTGCAGCCGGTAGGATTACCTCGGCTCAATTCCATACTTTTCTTTACTTCGGTTTTCTTATCTTGAACCGTACTAACTGTAGTCTCCTTCCTTCATTTAGATTTGAACTTTCTCAAGTCCCGGTACAGCTACCCCAACCTGAACACACTTCGGGCCGCACTTTGATATCCGAACAAGAGCTGGGCCGAGCTACTGAATTTTGAACTGACCTACCGATATAGTAGCCGTAGGAAGACCAGGGTGATCGATTTTCTCTTAGAGCCATCCCCAGAACCTGATCCTTCCCTTTCCACAAATCAACTTGATCCCATTGACTGCGGAGTAAGAGATGGCCAAGAAAAGTGCCGTAAGAGCCCTTATGACCGAGACAAACCAGCCCGAGGTATCCCTAGCCGGTCAAACACAAGAGACCGTGGTAGCCTTACCATCCCACTAGCCTTCATTGTCTCGGTCTCGCAAGCGCGCTCGGTCTTCTTCAACCGAGCCACGCCTTGTCGATGAGGACGAAACTGTGCTTCCTCCGACCGTAGTACCAAGCCCGCAACCTGAGAACTCAGACCGAGCTAACTCTTCTAATTGGGCACCGAGATTATCATACCGGAACCGAGCCATTCGAGACACAGATTCAGTGGTGACAGACAAAGATCACATGCTGGCCTTCAATCTGGCTAAGAGCGTGTGTCTGCCCCTTGATATGGATCATCATGCCCACCTTACCGAGCTAAAAGTTATCCGTTCGGCCACCAAATCAATGGCGCTAGTGAGTATTCTTTCCTTTGTCATCCCATTTTGTGCATCTATTAGCTCGGTTCGTACTCAAAATATTGCTTACCACCCTTATGCAGGCCATGCAAAAGAACCAGATTACACATAAGCGTGTGCTGGAGCTGCAGAAGACAACAAGGCAGGCTGTGGTTAATGCTGACAAGAAGACGACCGAGCTAAAAGTAGCAAAACAAAAAATGGCCGAGCTTCAATCTGAGGTCGCCCGCCTCACCGGTGTAGTTGACTCAGCCGAAGTGGAGAAACAAAAAGCTTTGACCGAGCTGAAGGACTACTACTTGTGTGAGCTTGCCACAATTGAGGAGAAGAATGAGTTGGAAAAGAAGATTGAAGAAGCGGAAGACCACGGCTACAAAGAAGACGAGGCAACTTATATCCTGCAGTGCGAAGCTGGGAAGGATTTATTCTTCAAGTGTGGGTGGAAAGTGGCGGTCATACAGCTCGGTCATGGTCCCGACACCGAGGTCTTCCTGAACCCTCCTTCACACTTCATACCAGGCTACATGGCGGAGTATGCTCAAGCCATTCAACAAAAATCCCTTCAATCTGAGGATGATGAAGAAGAAACCGAGCCTAATAATGCACCGGTCGTCAATGATCCTGCTGTGCAGGCAGCTCGAGTGGAGCCACCGGTAGAAGACTTGACAACCGACCTACTAGCTGAAACCGGGCTCCGAGTTGAACTGGATGCGGATCTTGATGACCTTTTTGTTTAGTCTTGTACTTTCTTCTTTTTCTTTAGGTGCTAACTTTAGAAGTTTTTGTAAACCGGGCTATGGCCCCACCTTTTGTACTTTAACTTTGCATTATCAATGAAATCATCCTTTGTTGTCTTCAACTGTCTGTTTGGTTTACTTCTATGCTTGTATTTACATTCCTAATATAATCTAAGTGAAGTAAATTCTCTGGCCGAGATATTTATCCCGGTCTTAACTTTGCAATCTGACTGGCCATACCTGCCAACCTCTTCAGCCTAGATCCTTATCTCGGCTGAAGAATAATAAGTGCTGGTTTTTCCAGCCAACCTCTTCAGCCGAGATCCTTATCTCGGTTGAAGAACAATAAGTGTTGGTTTTTCCAGCCAACTTCTTCAGCCTAGATCCTAATCTTAACTGAAGAGAGCTCAAAGTTAGTTTTTCCTGCCAACTCTGAGTGAAGTGTTTGGTTATTCCTGCCAAACGTCATGCAGCCTGGATCCTTATCCTGGGCTTAGGAGGAGTGTTGGTTTTTCTAACCAACCTCTAAGTTGGTTATTCCTGCCAACCTAGAGTAAAGTGTTTGGTTATTCCGACCAAACGTCCTGTAGTCTGGATCCTTATACTAGGCTCAGGAGGGGTGTTGGTTTTTCCAGCCAACCTCTAAGTTGGTTATTCCTGCCAACCTAGAGTTAAGTGTTTGGTTATTCTGACCAAACGTCCTGTAGCCTAGATCCTTGTCCTGGGCTTAGGAGGGGTGTTGGTTTTTCCAGCCAACCTCTAAGTTGGTTATTCCTGCCAACCTAGAGTAAAGTGTTTAGTCATTCCGACCAAACGTCCTGCAACCTGGATCCTTATCCTGGGCTTAGGAGGGGTGTTGGTTTTTCGAGCCAACTTCTTCAGCACTGATCCTAATCTTAGCTGAAGAGAGTGCAAAGTTGGTTATTCCGGCCAACTATGCTTTCAGTGCGCCTAACTCACTAAAACAATCTTTTACAGAAGGAAACAACTATACTGAAAAGAAACTACTTATTTTATTGAGAAAGAAAAAATTACAAATACCTGAAAGAAAAGCTAAAAATAAAATAGTTTGAGATTAGCAGTGTTCCATGGCCTAGGAATGACTTTGCT